GGGCAGGGGACTGGACTCGATGACCTCTCGAGGTCCCTTCCAGTCCTAGAATCTATGAATTGTATCACTGTAGTTGAAATGTTATCAGACCTTCTATTTTGTAACATTTTACATTTGAAAACTGAGAGCAGGTTTTCATAGTCAAGTTATATTCTCAGAGTAGATCCTCCACAATATGTAAGTTTGAAAGAAAAGGATAGGAGGCAGACATATATCAAAAACATCAATCATATTCTTAAACTTCAGCTGCCCTAGAATTAAGAACTACATTAAAGACTTAACTTATACTACCATGGCTTTCATTTCAGGGCAATTTATTTAGTATATTTAACAAATATATTAAAGTGGATTGCCACTTCAGTTCAGAGCAACTTACATACACCCACCCACCTTTATGAAGTTTTGCATCCCAAAGCATCAACATGCTTATGAGGCAGGGCTTTTCAGAGTCAGCTTCCTCTTTGAGGCATATTTGACAGAAGATCTGGCGGAAGTCACCTAGAGGGAGAAGTACATTAGTATGTGTAATGTCACTGTATAATCAAGGGGTCCACCCAACAAAATACAAGTCTGTTTAACTACTTTCATACATAAGTTATTTCTGGATTCTGATCTTAAAAACAAAATCACAGATCACCAATTAATCTTAATATTTCTACACAAGTGTGATCTCAGCATAACCTGTTGCTCTGCAGAATAACTTCCCTAATTTCCACAGAGTACAGTTACCTACTGATGAGAGAAATTCAGGAGGTTGTGGAGGATTGACATTTCACTAGGAAGGGGGTCAAGACAGCCTTGCACAGAAAATTCTACACCAGATCTGAACACAGATGGGCAGGCCAGGTTGGGATGTGACTTAATCTCGTCCGGCCTCTACACAGGGTACTCATACAAAGTTGGATTACATAGGTTTGTGTAAGATACCAAAATGTCATTTTATATTTCTTTAAAGCTATTGATAAACAAATTATTTGCAGAAGTGGGATGAATGTATGATAGCCTTTTTTCTAAAGACAAAGGCATTAGTGAAAGAAGAATTGGGGTTATTTAATTAGGAAGTTAGCCCTTACATTAGAGGTTTCTTATGTGCAGTGCAATTTCACAATCATGAAGCAAAAACTTTGGTGATTTGATTGAATTTAATAAGGACTAAACCTAGCATCCACTTCTCTGAGAAGAGAAAGGGGCCTATGAATGGATTTGTTGTTTTATTTTCTAAGCAACATTCTAAATTTGGAAAAATAACGAGCCTGGAGTGGACTTGTGAGAGTCTCTTGTTAACATAGCCAGCCTTTGGGCCTCAGGGAGGAGAATCTGAGTTTTCAAAAAACAATCTAACCATTTTCATTCTGAAGAATCTTGAAAAGAAACACATTATTAGGACTGAAAGGAGCAGGCAGCTGGTTTCTACTTCTGCAGCAAGACACTTTAAATATCTCTTCTCCACACACACTTTATGTAAAATTAGTCAGTTAGGTTTGGAATGTTCCCCAGAGAATCAGCACACAGACAGGAAAGCCACCTAAAGAGTCTCCATGAGATGCTGGAGGTGGGGAGGAGAGGGGGCACACCATAACAATTTGAGGGGTGAAATGATGAAAAGATAGATATATTATTGCAAGAGAGAAGAGACAAATGGATGATTTATTTTAAGGGGAGAAAAATGGGAGTGTTTTAAACAAAGGAATATCACATGTATTGCTGCCTAAGAGATATTTTTTGAAGGTACCTCTTGCTAAAGTTTTGGCAGCCCATTACTGGAACAAAGTAAATTATATGCTTACTTGAATAGCTCATAAGTTTGTTCAACCAGGAACCAAGGCGCAAGGCAAATTTCTGATGAGCCATAACGTCAGCATGCAGAACCTCCACATGAAGCGGTCGTTGGGAGACATTCTCAGAGTGCCTCTACAAGTCAGGTAAAAACAAGAAAATAAAGTTTGAACGAGAGAAGGCCCAGAAGTTCTAATCTCCTTAACCCATTCACGAACCCTCCTCTCACTTAAGCAAATTTTTCCTGTAGTCACCTAAACCAGCTGACTCCTGATTTAGGACAGTGTTGAACACGTGTATCTAACTTGACCAAAGACGGTGGGATAAATTGGGGTTTAAAGGAAGATTATAAAAAAAAAATCTGCATGTATTAAATTATAAAGATTATGTAACAAAAATATAGACAGATAAATTGAGTGAGGTAATATCTTTTATCAGACCAAATTCTGTTGGTGAAAGAGACAAGCTTTTGAGTTTACACAGAGCCTCTCTAATATCCTGGGACCAACACGGCTACATCATCACTGCAAATAACAAAAATAAGTCAATACAAAATTTGGTGTTCTTTGTATTTTTTTAAGTGAGAAATAAAGATTTCAGGAAGTTACCTTGATTTCTTCCTTTGCTTCCTGACAGGATACATAAGGTCCCTCTTTTACAGCCCTACGACCCTGTTTAAATGAGAGATGAATTAATAAAATATTGAAAATACAACAATTTAAATTAAATTAAAAAATGACACTTCGGCCAGGTCCCTGCTAGGTGACATTATTCAAAATAAGCAGGCAGTACAAGGCAGGTGTGGTGAGGAAACAGGTATCTGAACGCTAATTAATTTTATCTAAAAATTATTAAACAAAAACAATTCAATCATCAAAGTTGATAAGTGGGAGAAACAACAATTAAATAGATAGAATTAATAATTAATCGTTTCTAATTAAATTAGTTCAGGGAAACCAAAATCAAAAGATGGAATTATTGATATAGACTATTCAGGAGACTATCTTAGGGGATGTGACTCATTATTTTAGTGGCAGGGGTTCTTTTAATGCACTAGGTGATGCCTCATAAATCAACAATTATTTTCTTCAAAATTAAGAATATATTTAAGTAACTAAAATAAAAATAAAAATCAATACACAAAATTAATCAGTAAGTATATAAAATGACAGGAGAAGATTAATACACAATTCAATCAGCAATGAATAGGCAAATGAATTAATCATATAAAATAAAAGGTAAATCAACTTGTAATTACTTAAGAGAAAAATCACAACAAAAATTGATTAAATATTGGCAAACTTCTATCATAGAAGAATAAAACTCAAAACTCTGAGAATCCACAACCATGCTATTCACTCATCTACTCAAGGCACTAAATATATCAATGGGTATTTGAACTTCTCTACATGAACTAAACCAGGGGTAGGCAACCTATGGCACACGTGCCGAAGGCGGCACGCAAGCTGATTTTCAGTGGCACTCACACTGCCTGGATCCTGGCCACCAATCTGGGGGCCTCTACATTTTAATTTAATTTTAAATGAAGCTTCTTAAACATTTTAAAAACCTTATTTACTTTACATACAACAATAGTTTAGTTATATAGTAAAGACTTATAGAAAGAGACCTTCTAAAAACATTAAAATGTATGACTGGCACGCGAAACCTTAAATTAGAGTGAATAAATGAAGACTCTGCACACCACTTCTGAAAGGTTGCCGACCCCTGAACTAAACCATGGCAAGCTGGGGTGTGAATCTATGCTGGCACTACTGTGAATGAGGTCTAACCGTCCATGTGCATTCTGTTGATCTCTGTTAATAGTTTATTAGAATGCTTTGAGCTGCGTTCCAATAAACTGTTAACACAGGCCATGACCAACTACTGCAGGGCAGATTCACACCCCAGCTTGCCGTGGTCTAATTGTTCCTGTAGATAAACCCTAAGTCCTTGTCTACACTGCCACTTTACAGCACTGAAACTTTCTCGCTCAGGGGTGTGGAAAAAAAAAACACAACACACCCCTGAGCGATGCAAGTTTTAGTGCTGTAAAGTGGCAGTATAGACAGTGCACCAGCGCTGGTACCTACTCCCCTCCTGGGGGTAGCTTTTTTTTTTTTAAACTACACAGTGCTGGGAGAGCTCTCTCCCAGCGCTGGTGCCACAACTACACAGCCACGTTAACGTGGCAGCGCTTTAACGTTGGCAGTGAAGACATACCCTTAGTCACCTACTGAGAGAGACTAATGATTAAGCATCATTAACATTTCAGTAAACACATTAAGTGTAAAGTATCCAAGGTAAATTCAAGTAAAGTAAATTAGGTTACAAAACTACCTAAAAAATCTCTTAGACTAAAGAAAAATAATAAAACTGGCAAAAATAAATATGATAGTGTACTTGAGAACAACAACAACTTAAACAAGACTAGTAAAACTAATAATTCTTCTCAACTCTATCTTAAGAAATCAGAATTCTAGGACTAAACAAAGGATTTAACTAAATGAATTCAAGGTCATATGACAATTACAGCTCACCATTAATCAATTTTCAGACACAGCTGTCTAGCTGGAAATTGTTAGAATACCACATACCCAAGCTGGGATATAAATCACCCAAGTAAGGAACAGGTAGGGTTCTCTCTTTTTTGGTTGAATTAATAGGCTAAAACTTGGAAATGGTGAAAGACAGTAACAGAATCTAAGCAAGTATTGTGTAAGGTGGCGGTCTCAATTTTACACAAGGCAAAAAGTTTAGAAAAGTTGAGTTAAACGTGAGAGAGACTCCCAAAACAGAAAACCCAATAATAAAGGGGATTTCAATTAACACCATATTGACTGGGAACATGTCACCTCAGGACAGGATGTGTAGATTTCTGTGTCACTTACTAGGAGATGAATTGAAACCTCTATTTTGATATTAATTATATTTTGAGACCTTTTGGTGTGTCACATCTCATTTCTGATTTTAGTGTTTTAGTTTAATGCAGACTTACTCAAAGTGTTAAACAGAAACATAAATGAAGAGAGCAGGAGAAGGAACAGTCTGGCATGTGTGGGGACACTAAGAGGCATTTGTTTATTTCTGCCATTACAACCATATATTCTTCTTGAAGATAACAAAATAACATTCATATAGTTAGAAAGGTATGTTAGCTTACGATGTAGGAAAAAGGGTAATAAAACCAATTAAAACATCTCTGGATTCAACTGACCTAAAATTGAGGCCTTTGTTAGGGTTTAAGGCAAGAATACATGATTCAAGTGTGAGCTTTTTCACTGCTTTATTACCTTATAACTTCTCAGTAAAAGAATATTAAAATTGCATAAACTTGGGCCCAAAAAAATCAGACCCTTTGCCCTATCTCCTGTGTGGTGCCTAGAGTCCATTTAGTACAGTGCTCTAGGAAGTCTGAGATAGTAATCCACTTGGTACAAACAATCAGTCTCTGGACAACCTTACCAATTTGAATTAAAGTAAAACAGCAAGTTAAAAACAAACAACGCATTTGCATTATCATGTAAGAGGAACAAATGGGTGCAACAAAACAGAAGACTTCTGCAAAATACTCCCATCCAGAAGCAGTGTCAATTTTCATCCTAGCAGAAAGTACACTCGTCCTGAACTCTTTTCTTCCAACCCAGACCCTTTGCCTATAAAGTGATTTCTTAGTTCGGAGGATCAAATAGTGGGAATGTTCAGAGCAACATGCAGCATCACTCTTAATGGAGTCTGAAACAACACTGACAAGAACTGTCTGGTCCCAAATCCCAAAGAAAAGAAGTTACAAGTGTGGCCTTTAACATGGCCCTTCCACATTGCAGAATTTGAGAAGAGATGACGAGAAAGCAATAACTTGCTGTAAACATACTGCCAGTAAAGCAAAGTAGTACTCCCTGGTACATTTTGTGCAATAAACACCACAATTTCCACTGCACTGTAAAAGCATACTCAAGTCAAGTTAGACCTAAAAGTTAGGTTTTATTATTAAAAATAACCATGTATATACCCTTTAAAAAAAAATCTTTTTTTGAAGTTACTATGGAGCCATTTTTGGAAGATAGTCTTCTGTAGTGTATGCAGCCCAAGCAATGTAGCATTGTGCTAGCACATGAGAAGCTGAAAGTGAGACTAGACAAAAATAAACTAATTTTTTCATAGTCTAAACCAAGACAAATATTGAAAGTAAACAGCACTAATGGTCAAAAGCAAGTTTTTAAAAATTCTTCCAATTTTAATAAGTGTGTGTGTGTGTGTGTGTGTGTGTGTGTGTAGTATATATATATATATATATATATATATATATATA